CAAAAACTTGTTTTTTAATTATGCGCGAAATATAATTTTTCTAAAATCAAAACTGCTCTAAAAACATAACCAGTGTAAAGAGCATTAAATTTGGACTGTACCTAAATAGAAACACATTTAATTAAATGTACAGGAAGGGTATTCAAAAGGTTGATTTGTAATATTTGTGATTTTCCTCGAGGTATATATACCCTTTGTGTTTTGGCCAAATTTAGGTGTTTTCAAAAAAATCTTAAAATTAAAATTTAATTATTTGATATGATATTTTCAATAATGTTGAGCATTTTTTTGGCTTGAAAGACCGTACGGGAATGTCAGTTTACTATATAATAAATTCAATTCAAAACAACTTGTTAAGCGAAAAAAAAAAGCACGAATTATGTAGTTCATTGTCGATATTGAGTAAATTATGGGCAGCTTTTTTAAACATTGGCACATCAAATGATATTAAGCGTATCCTCTTCATTCTAATGGTCTATAGTCAGAGTCTTCATTCCGAGGATTTTCAGTTGGATTGACGTGGTTAATACCAATTCGTTGGTTCGTTAAAACTATAAATAATATTTTTGCCAGACCCCAAGTTGTTTTCCAGGATTCACTATTTTTGAAGGCACAAAAGTATGAATCTATACATTCTAAAGCTTTTTCATTTATAATCTATCTGAATTACTATGGACCAGGTCATGGGAGATATTACGAAAAACTGCATAAATTCACCAATTTTTTTTTTTGCGAACCAATGGTATCTCGTGTCAGGTCCCTATTCACTTTTATATTTTGTAACGAAGTAAAAAGTAGCAAAAATAACAAAGTTTTATTTATAAACACTTACGGAATAGTCTCCTTAATGCACACGAACTTTTAAAACGAAAGTCTTTGGAATTTTGGAAAAGTTACAGCCATTTGAAACGTTTTGTTTTATTTTCAGCTTCAGGAATTGGTAATTAGTTACTCTCAAGATCGGAAACCGAAAATAAATTGTCCAGTTTTTCTACAAAAATAGTAAAAGAAGTGCTTTGAAAACCGATTAAAAAAGGGCAAAATACCACATATACATATGTGGGTGAATATAAAAATCTGATCAAAATCAAGGAACATTCAAAATTATTCGATTGAAACGGAAATGCTAAAATAACAAACGTTTTTAAATCCACATGTTTTTTTATTTTTTTGTTTTGTCTTTCCTCCGTTTTTCTTTAATATTACTTTTTATCTCTTACCTTACTATGAACAACAATGAAGCAAATAACAACACTCCCAACAATGCACGTGGTGGCGGACGTGGTCGTGGATATAGACGTGGAGGTAGACGCGGACGTCACAGACACTCTGGCACCTTTGTGTTTGTTGACCCTACTTTTCAGCACAACACCATGCCTGTGAACAACAGCAATGCCCTATCTAAGAACAACAACACTGATGTCGAAGATGATACGAGGGCGTTTACATCCATACAACGTATGGACTGATATTGCAACTTGTATCCTTCTTGAGATTATGGCAGACACCTACAATCACTTGTTGAGAAGATGAGATACTACTCTAGAACAGTTTATGTGGATACATTTGGCAGCTCTGTTGACAGACAAGATAGCTGAGTGTGCAAACACCGACGCAATCAGGGCTTTTATACAGTAGTCGCTCGATTTAAGGGTGTTCGATTTAAGGGTATTTTCTATTTAAGGGTGAGATTTCCGAAATTTTTGGTCACCCTTAAATCGAGCGACTACTGTACCACCAGCATGGACAGGCGCAAAACCCCACCGCCATATACATCCGTACTGTTAGGGATGGAGATAAAAATTAAATTAAGGTAACAAAAGGAAATACTATTAGAACTTTGTATATCTTTTATTTGGAGAAAATTTAGATTAGGGAATTCTACTACCAAAAACTACAGGTATTTATACTAAATAATTAGATGGCTTTCGGATAGATATGTGACGCGTTAGAGGAATATGATATAATGTTATACGTAATGTCTGTTTAAATAAATATGTTATGAAGTAAATCCTGCCTTACAAAGTAAAGCCAAAAGTACTTGAGGATCTAAATTCATCTCCGCAGATAACATTACGTAAATGCCAAAGAGAAAGTTTAGTGCGTGTAATATTCAGTAACCGAATATTCCGCCTATGGGATTGTACTATACTTTTATGGTATTATAATATTTAACTCGTCACATGGCTAATCACCTTGTGCACAGACACCAACGGTTCTGATGATAACAAATGCGGCGAAGTGTGAGCCATGAATATTTATGCATGATCATCCATTATTATGTAAATGTGATGATTCATTTATTATAATCTATGACATACTCAACACGCACCACCCCCACTGGCATATTCATCCCCGCCACCTCCACCTCAGCAAACATCCGCACGTCCACCTCGACCTACGTTCGTACTACATCCACTTTTACCTACATCCGAACCACATCCACCTCCACCTACATCCGCACCAGCTCCACTAAGATCAACCGGCACTTCGAGAAATAATCGAACTTCTGGTAAGCGGTCTACGTCAACAATCAATCCTATTTAGGCTGCTCGTCAGTTGTCAGAGGAGCATATCGCACTTACCCGCCAACTCGGTGTAGACATGATGCATCGAATGGCAGCAGTGTGACGGAAAGAAAGGGAGCAACGAATTTGGGACATTGACAATATGTTGCAAAGTGCCAGTCGTAATAGAGAAACTGCATCGGAAGATCTGCAAACAAAAAGACGACAAGAGTCCAGAGACAAATATCGGCTGCTAGAAGAATCAACAAGTAGACGAGAGGCCAATTTGAAAGAGCATAGACGTAAACGTATGTCTGATATGGAGACTATTATGAGTAGATTTGCAGCCATTCGACGAGGCGATAGTGATACCATTACAGATGGTTCATATTCTACTGACAATAATAATTAAATAAAAAATATATTTAATATAATAAAACCTTTTGAGAACTAAGCAAGTCTATCTGTTCCCCTCATGATATTGTTTCTTCTTAAGATAGACAATGCCTTAATATGGCTCATACCTGCAGCATCAACGGTAGCATCGGTACCAAAAAGAGGAAGAGGAGGTTCGACGTTCACTTCATTTTCAAATTGATTTCGACGTTCTGCCTCTACAAATCCCTCAAAATCCAAATTTCCATCCATAACTGCCTCTTCGATATCGTTTTGGTTTACACAAACGTTGTGCAAATCACAGCAAGATACAATGGTTTTAGAACTTCTATCAACGCTAAGCATATACAAGTGCTTCCAAAGAAATCTCCACCTGGAAGTGAACCCAACGAATGCTATGAAATAAAACAGTGAGATTTGGCAGCAAAGGGTAAGCCGAATCTAGGTCTCATCGTTAGTGCATTGTATACCTTGAAATAATTAATGGACTTACCTCCCAAAAAATAAGTGTTTGCAGGACATCATCTGGCCGCATCCAACAAACTTTTGTGATAGATGACGCTGCTTGTGAATACTCTGGCATCATGGTTTCTTTTTTAACATAATAACAAACGGTAAGCTGCTGTTTTATGTTGTTATCCTTGCACATGAACTTACCGGAATGCCCAGTTCTTACGTACATAAACCGAGTACGGACATCGAAAATTGCCATCGAATTTATGCATGCATGACTCTTTCTATCAACATAATCGTTTCCATTTATTGCCGGTTTTTAGATCACAACCAGCTTGCTATCAATCGCAGTAAGTACACCAGAAAGTCTGGGTGGTACCACGTCCACCAAGGTCTGCAAACCGACGAGCATTGTTCAAAGCTCGCTGTCTATCTTTGATGGGCAATGTTATAAGTTCGGGAGTAATCGCCAACATGGCTTCAATAAATCGGTTAGTGAAATTATTGAAAGATCTGACTGTTACTTTAAGATGAGTTTCGGCAATTCGATAACCAAAATGGGTGATAGCAAATCTCCAAAGCACGCACGCAACTTGAACTTCTACAGAGTAACCGCCTCGCATAATTGACCCAAGATAAGCAGCACATCTACTGAAACGATTGACGAGCCACTCGAAGGTCGAGTGGCTGACTCGATAATGAGCTCTATATCTATGTCGGCTGTAACGATTGTCGTTCAAGCTGGGATGTTTTATCATCCACTATGTTTTGTACGTGTCCATATGCTCGGTTCTAACAACCCTTCTGTGAGATTTTTGGGTAATCGTCATAGGGGTGCTTATGAAATTATAATAAAAGATGTCGTAGTTTATTAAAGTGGTTCCATGCAAAATTGTTTCTCTAACTCAAAGTTCGAACAATCAAAAAACGTCATAGTTGCCTTGGAGACTAGCATAGTCGGCAATAATGTTCTCTTCGGCAATGGCAACCTCTTGTTCAAGCATTTCCTCTTCTAAATCGAACGCTTCGTCAATTCCAACGATTTCTTCCATCACGGCATCGAAATATTGATCGTCGTCTTTAAAACGGTCAGCATCATTTCCCATCCAAATTTGCTCTTGCATTATATCGAAAAACGTTTCGTCAATTGGGTTCATGGTAAATAGGTACTTTAAAAAAACTAAGATAAGCGAAAAGGAATATTCCGTTCTTTTATCTTCTTTATTTTAATAAAATCAAGTTAGGTCTTTTAGTAAATTTGAAAGTGAAGAATCCTCAAGGCATCACCTGATCGATTAAATCATTTTTTTGTCCAATTTAAAAGTTCCGTTCAAACCCAAAAAAAGGGTCTACCGGCCTTTCGAATTTTACCTTGAGAGCACCTTATGATCAGCATCTTATTTACACGAATAAATCTATACAGTCGTTCGAACGCCAAAGGGCGGCTTTCTTAAAAAAAGTGCGGCTAATAAATTCTACGAAAGGGCGGTTTTAATTTTTCCAAAAGGCGGTTTTGATTCATCCAATGGGTGGTTTCATTCTTCGCAAAAGGCGGGTTTTTTCACAAAAAATAAACCCAGCTTTTTTTCTCACACGTTTTTTCTCTCAATGAAAGAAGACAATGACTCACCTTTGCGACGTTTGTAAAACTGAATTTCAGTCATCAGCAAAATTGGATAACCATAATTATGATGTCCATGTGAATACGCTACAAGTGTCTATAAACAATAGTAGGAACAGGCAATTTTTGAAAAAAAAAGTCGATGTGCTCACGTTCTTTTAGAGACAAGTGTAGTTCAAAGAGTAGACGGTAAATTTAATTGTCCTGAATGTCAAGGCAAACGTTCTACTTCTGGATTGTTTAGCAATCATCTGAAAAGGAAACATTAAGGAGCTTGTTCAACCTTATCTAAAGCAGAAAAAAAGCGTAGCTTTCAAACAGACGAAGACAGTGACACATCCTCAATTGTAATAGAACACCGTAAAATACCTGGCCCACATTTAAGTTTAGATGAATTTAATCCAAATTCGCTTACTTTGCCGTCATTACGCTGTGATGACAATACTAAGGTCGCAGTTACCTCTAGTAAACAAGGTTAAACGGAATCTGATCAAGAGAAAACAGGTTTTAGCAACACTGGGGACAGGAAACCAGTAGAAATATCATCCAAATGTGAAAAAAAGTTTTACATGCTCGCCTCTCCAGAAACGATTGAACATTTACTTGTAGAACAACCAACTGGTTTGTGGTGGTCACCGAGTCCAGTTAAGTAAAATATGAAACTTTATTTTATCAGCCGACAAGCTCAACATTAGGAGCTTATACGTAATTGTACTGACAATTTTCTGTAGCACCATCTTATATGCATGGCTACAATGATATAACAATTTAATTAAAATTACAATCAGATACTTACAACAACCACACAGGTTAGAATTTTTCATATCATATTTATGCTTGAGATTTATCTTATTTCATAATCCTCATTTATAAAATATTTTGTCTGACTAGTTCGCCTTGCTTAATGAATTTAACTCAATAGTCTCATTTCATAAATCATATGAATATAGCTGTAATTTGAATAAAAACTTTAACTTTGGCTGATCATTTTCACTGTTAGAAGTTTTTAGATTATGTATTCTGGAAAAATAGCGTACAAATTGGAAAATGGAATGGATGTGGTTTATGTATATATCAATACTTCCGAATGGTAATTAGTTTATTTAGTATACCTAGTGAGAATGAGACGTAACTATGTGTATAAATGCTGGGATAATAATTTAGCAGCTGTTTTATTTGCATTGTTTATAGATGTTGCCAATGAATCTGCCAAAGTCTGAAGCAAATTACTCAATTTCAAGTTGTCAATGATCATAATTATGTCATTGTTTTGTAAGTTGACTATTTGTTCAATTATATCTTTAACAGCCCCATTTTTCAAGGTGTAATGCAATTTATGAAGTAGCATCACTTGAATATGAGCAGCTGAGCCCTTTTTTATAACCTCTCATGCAATCGATTGAAACATTTTTGACAGTCTGTGTGACTGAGAATCGAGTGTTTGTGGAGAGTCGTACTCGCAAAACGTCCAAATGGTGTACGGTCGGTAGGATTATCAGTTGTAAATAAGCTAAATGATCTACATAGTGTATAGATTGAAAGGCCATGAAACTTAGATCGTAATTGATGAAGTTGGTAATATAAATAATTTTGATTTATACAAGTGGCCTCATCATCTTCCAGTAATTTTGTCCCACTTTTAACTGAGCTAAGTTAAGATTAATTCGGGCGTCCGGTAGCGGTATAAAGTTATTGGCATTTGGGCCCATTTCAATTGTCTTGTTTGCTATAGTTTGTTTGTCAAGACGTACACTTGATGTTACAAATAAGTTGCAAATGGTAGCTCCAATTTTCAGCATTGTTGTATTGTCATCATGAGCAAGGCAAATTTCTATCTGTCCATATTTTGATTTTGATTTCGGAAATGAAGACTGGCGAATAGAAGAACTAGTACGACGCTCGTGGTGAGCATCAACCGACTTTAATCGACCATATGTTTCGACACAATTAAAAAGTGATGCTGTTGAACCACTCGACAAAATACAACCTGCGAAAATCTGCGACGTAGCAAACCGCAGTTGCGGAAAAATGCCCATCTTTATTTTATTTCTTGGACAATTTGTTCGCTGAGTTCGACCAATTCTTCATCGGCTATGTGATCGTAGATTTGACTTGTGCTAACAATATGTTTAAATAAATTGTCTGCATTTGTTGAAGTTGATGAGCCTTCTGTAACTGAATTTTCTAATGTAGGAAAACTTCAAGTTCCAATTGGTTTATCAGACAATATATCGCTTGTATTGTTTGGAGTTGTGAGAAAAGGGTAAATCTTACCACTTGAGGACGTTAACAAAATGGGTTTTAGTTTTCCATTTGTGGCGGCTAAGATACAGTTTTCTTGAATGCTGGGAGAGCTTAAGAGTGAATCACAGGCAAGCAGAACAGCGGAGTTATCATCAAATCGTGTGCTTGTTTGAAATGCAACTGGGTTGTCAGTGCTTAAATCAATCCCCCTTTCACTGGGCTTATGGGGCTTTGTTACCATTGAGGATGTGTCACTGTCTTCGTCTGTTTCAAAGCTACGCTTTTTTTTGCTTTAGATAAGGTTGAAGAGGCTCCTTGATGTTTCCTTTTCAGATGATTGCTAAACGACCCAGAAGTGGAAAGTTTGCCTTGGCACTCAGGACAACTACATTTACCGTCTACTCTTTCAACTACACTTGTTTCTAAAAGAAAGTGAGCACAACGACTTTTTTTTTCAAAAATTGCCTGTTCCTACTATTGTTTAATGACACTTGTAGCGTATTCACATAAACATCATAATTATGCTTATAGAATTTTGTTGATGACTGAAATTCAGTTTTAGAAACGTCCCAAAGGCGAGTCATTGTCTTCTTTCAATGAGAGAAAAAAAGTGAGAGAAAAAAGTGGGTTTAATTTTTGTGACAAAAATCGGCTTTTTCCGAAAAATAAAACCGCCCATTGAATGAATCAAAACCGCTTTTTGGAAAAATTAAAACCGCCCTTTTGGTAAAATTTATTAGCCACACTTTTTTTAAGAAAGCCGCCCTTTGGCGTTAGACCGACTGTATATATTATTTTTCTTAATTTAGATAGTCTTTTCAAACACTGTTTTTAGTTTTTTTGAAAAAAAAAATGAACACTTTATTTTCGGTTTCCCAACTTTAGATCACATAGACTAAAAAAGATTTTCGCACGTCCTTTTTTTAGTGCAAAATATAAAAGCCATCTTATTTAGAAATAGCCGTCACTTTTTGCGTGCACGGACAAATGGGTCATCATTGACATCATTTGTGCTCAACAATCGACGCTTTTTCTCATTTTTTACTTTAATTTTAGTTTTCTCTTTCATTGATAGTCCCACACAGACAGTTGGGTCTAATAAATTTTTATCCTTTTATACTCATCTCTATTATTTCTTTTCAGCCCATTTTTAACACATTAGCCTTGTTCATTTTTCCCTTTTTTATCCCTTTCTCTTCTTTTTTTTTCATCCCTGTTTTCCTAATGTCTCTTTTTTTTTCGTCTATTTTGTTTTTAGTTCCTTTTTTTTTCCTTCGTTCCTTTTCTATCTTTTATTTTTGAGCTTTTATTTTTGACCTGTTTGAGCTGTTTAACAGTATTGGTTGAAGATATCATAGATAAAATATGATAGTTAATTGTCACATCACATAAAGGATGGATAGTAAATATAAAACTAATTCATGAATCACACGTTACCCCGCTTGTTCTCATCCTACCGTTGGAGTCTTTACACAGGGCGCATCCCTGTGGCGAGTAAATATTCATTACGGAAACAAGCAATTACAATCGAATGGGTCTTGACTATAAATAGATCCTGAGCACATATATTACTCTTGTCATTTAACGTTATAACTGTTGATCCCTCTGACTAATATTTTTATACTCAGTATCGAAGGGTTAAATTTAAAGGCATGTTGGTTATTTACTATTAACAGATTAGAACATCATAATCTAATTAGGCGCTTAATATTCTTCCTAGGACTATCCCAGTTCTTTATATATATATTCATAGTTTTTTCTCATAGACCATCAATACATTTTCGAAATACATTTTTTCCAAGTTTTTAATTATATTTTTTCATCCATAATAAAATAGTATACAAGTTCTAACAGTATCACTTTTTGGTTAAGTTTAATTTTGTTCTCCATGCAAAACAGTATTAAAGAACGTAACCCCTTTATCTCTCATGTGTCATAGCACAGAGAGTCTAATATTTTTGTTTTTAGCTTTAATAAGAATAGTAGGGTATTTATAAGAAGGGGGAGTGGTCAGTTGCAGCTCTTTTTTCCCCAAGAATTTTAGTTTCGTTGGGCTACTTCCTTCTTATATTTATAGATTATTTACATGGTTTTGGTTTCTAGCTAATCCAATATATTCAACTGAAATGTTGCAATAAAATTAACAATCTTAAAGCCACACAATGAAAGCGGACGAGAAAAACAAAGTATATGCTTAAGCGTTACCGAAATGCTTTAGCCCCATTTTTTATTTGGCTGGTTATAAGTGTCAGCTTAAAATACTTTATGCTGAGGTTTTCCGCGTGTCATAAACAGTTATATCCATAAATACCATCTTGCCCTCGTCTGACGTATACTATAATAAACCTTGAATTTTCTTTTTAAAAATATCACCAGGACGTGCTTTCCAACGGAACGTCCTGAATAAACACCATTACATAGTTAAACCATACAGTATTAGTAACACACTCCTAATGACGTTCATAAGCGCTTAATTAGAAAAGCGAATGACGAATCGAACTGGATGGAAAATAAGCATTCATTGCTTAACGGTACCATTACCAGCATTCCGGTACAAGGGAATATGAGTTTTCGTACAAACACAAAAATGTGTATAACTCAAACTGAAACCTCATACTTAAGTAAACGAAGCCAATTTACCAAAAAAAAAAAAAAAAAAAAAAAAAATTGGTATGCAGGAAAAATAAATTTCTCTAAACGATCAAAAAAAATGTGTTTGGAGCCATTAATGTTGGTAAATAACCAATCTAGTTTCTATAATCAAGTAAAGGTAAACCATATTACACATATGTAACTTTTATTAGTTAGGAGGTCCATTTATACAAGATTAATGCTGCCCAAGAACGTTTTCCATTAAGTCTTTCTTATAAGTCATTGCATGTAATTAGATTAGCAAATTCAATAAATAACTGCAATCACTTGAAAACCGAAATTATTGTAGTGTCACGCTTTTTATGGAAATGAGTGATTTCTATGGAAACGTCATAATGGGTTATCACTATTTCTTTTTAAGGCCGATTCTTTTTAGTTACACTTAAACGCTTGAACAAACAATCTCTCTTTTTTATGTTAATAACCACAATGTCTTTGTTCCAAATGCACCCATTAGCCAATCTAAATAAAACTCCATAGTCATTCGTATATGCAAAATTCTTGTTCACAAAAAAAAGGTTTATTATAGCCTGGATGGACCAGGAGGACGAGTAAAAAAACATTTTCTCTGTTCCTGTTGCTCTAAAACGGTATGATGGTCAATTAGTAAACTGATTAAAAAGTATTTTCAAAATAGAGATACGTACCTGTTCTGCTGAATGGATCCCTGAATTTTTCAGGGTCCAAGTTTTCCCAGGGAGATCCGACGTAGGAGAAACGAGTTCGGCGAACCATGGGATGGGAGGTTGCCGGCTCGTCAACACGCAAAGAGGAAGAAAAAGGCCGGGGAGAAGGAGAGGAAGCAACACTGGCCACGCTGACTGTAGCAGCAACGGAAAGCACAGGAGAAGGGGGAGAAGCAACGATAACTGCAGGTGCAGCAACAGCAGCAGCAGAAAACAAAGAAGAAGGGGTGGCAACAAAAGTCACCGCAGAGGCCGCAGAAGAAACCGAAGACACCGGAGAAGGCGAAGAAGCCACAACATCACCGACACCAGAAGAAAGAGCGGGCGGAGGCAAAGAAAACGTGTCCTCAGCAGGAACAGACATTACCCGGCGACGAGGAGAAAAACGGGGAGAAGGAAAGCAGGATCTTCTTTTTTCTCCAACCTTTGGATCCTCCAAAGCAGAAGACGAAGCAACAGGAGACCACACCGGAGTCTTTGGCAATAAAGACAAACCGGCCAACGGGGGAGCGGCGTCAACGATTTCCCGGAAGGAACGAAGCGGACGAAAAACGGGCGAAGCGAGATTCCCTTGTCTGAGAATAGGCGAGAGCGAGGGAGAGCGCAATTCCTCAGAAGGCTCACCAGCAGAAGAAAGCCAAAGAGAAGGCCGAGGAAAACCAGGAGGAGACGCCAAATTCACAGATGTGAAGGAAGAGGAGGGCGGGAGAGATTCCAACTCATCCAAAGCTGATCCAATAGCCAAGACCGAAGAAGACGAAGCAGGTCCCACAACGGGAGAGGCAGAAGGAGAGCAAGAAAAGACCGGAGAGGGCGAGACAGAACCTACACCGGGCCATTCCACGCTGGTGACCGAACCAGGAGAGACAAGAGGTACTTCCAAAGATCCAATTCCAACCGACGAACCACCAACGACGGAAGGATCAGCGTTATCCCCAAGGGGGGAAGAAACCGCAGGATCAGTATCATCCTCCACGGAAGAAGACACAAGAAAGGAAGCAATATCCTCCATCAAAGAAGGAATGACTTTGATTGCGTTATCCCCCGAAGGGAAAGAAACCGCAGGATAAGTGTCATCATCCAAGGACGAAGACACAAGAAAGGAAGCAATATCCTCCATGAAAGAGGGAATAGCTTCCGCAGCGTTATCCCCCGAAGGGAAAGAAACCGCTGGAGTTGCGTTATCCCCCGAAGGGGAAGAAACCGCAAAGAAAGCGTTATCTCCAGAAGGAGAAGAACCGCTTTAACAACGTTATCCCCGAAGGGAAAGAAACCGTTGTGGGAGCGTTATCCTCAAAAGAGGAAGAAACCGCAAAGAAAGCGTTATCTCCAGAAGGAGAAGAAACCGCTTGAACAACGTTATCCCCCGAAGGGAAAGAAACCGTTGTGGGTGCGTTATCCTCAAAAGAGGAAGAAACCGCAAAGAAAGCGTTATCTCCAGAAGGAGAAGAAACCGCTTGAACAACGTTATCCCCCGAAGGGAAAGAAACCGTTGTGGGTGCGTTATCCACAAATGGGAAGAACCGCAAAGAAAGCGTTATCTCCAAAAGGAGAAGAAACCGCTTGAACAACGTTATCCCCCGAAGGGAAAGAAACCGTTGTGGGTGCGTTATCCTCAAAAGAGGAAGAAACCGCAAAGAAAGCGTTATCTCCAGAAGGAGAAGAAACCGCTTGAACAACGTTATCCCCCGAAGGGAAAGAAACCGTTGTGGTTGCGTTATCCTCAAAAGAGGAAGAAACCGCAAGGAAAGCGTTATCTCCAAAGGAGAAGAAACCGCTTCAACAACGTTATCCCCCGAAGGGAAAGAAACCGTTGTGCCTGCGTTATCCCCCGAAGGGAAAGAAACCGCAAGAGAAGAACTGTTTGCAAGAGGCGACGGGATCAAAGAAACCGACTCCACGGCAATCTCACGACGCCACGAAGTAACAGCCGGAGCTGATTGCAACGTAGGAGAAGGAGAAGCCAGGCGAGCAGGGACAGAAGGAGAAGCCAAAGAAGCAACAGGTGGTTGGTCAATGGCGTTGACGGGTCTAATGCCATGGGGACCCAGGACATAAATCTCACCAATTGGCACCGGTGGAATCCGTTGTCGGGGTCGACGAACAACGAGAAAGAGCCAAAGAGGAGACAAGACACCAGTCAAACTTTCCCGAAGGAAACAAAGAATACGCTTCGCCCAAAACCAAGAAAAAGCCGAAAGAAAGAACACAAGAAGTGTCAATTGACACATTAACCTATTCCATGACAACATTAGAGACTTGCTTAAAGTTTGTTCAATCTCTGATTTTGATATACTTACTCTTCGAAAAAAACGAACACGGTCATAGCTTTTTAGAATGGTCTAAAGAAAAAGAAAAAAAAATAAACAGCCCCAGTTTTTCTAAAAAAATAAAAAAAATTTGCTGCGCTTCGGAAAATAATGACGTCTCAACTTTGTAGCCAATAAAATAATTTTGATTTAATTAACCCAAAAAAAAAATCTGAGAATATTTTAAACGTATAGTCTTCAGTATTAGACATCATGATTATTCATATATAAATCCTTCAATTTCGACATTGAGGGATTCTTTCTTAAAGCTCCTGACTGAATCTGATGGTGTTAAACCTGAATATAGATGGACCACATTTTGCCTTTGCGCTAGCTCTAGGACTTCAAGAATTATGCAAAAAGAATATTGTAGCTGTGAAAATTATAGGCAGGCAGTGATGGTCTTTGACCAATACGTCAATGTTTCTTTAGAACCTCTAATTATTCCCGCAATCGGCATTTCGCCGAGAATGTCGAAGAGATGGCACTACAATTTCTACCAAATAATTATTGCGACATAGGAAATCTAGAATACACCACAATTTTCGCTCACTTTTAGCAAGTACAAAATCATGAAAAAGATTTAATTTTACGGAAAAACACAAAGCGCCCTTTATTATTAGATGATCAAGTGTAAGGTATTATTCAACTGCCTATTCTCTATGGAAGCGCTTAGCTTAAAGACAAACAACAACCTGTTCGTTTGTTTTTATAACAACATCAATTTAAGGCATCAGAATCAGTCGCGCGGTTAGCGATTTAGAAGAATAAAACAGGGAGCTTTTTCAATAACTATCTTAACGCTGTGTGTACATACTATAGTATATGATTGTTTTTTTAGGGGTATGAGTTCCTTTTAATTTCTAGTTTTATTTGTAGGCGTTACTGTCTCTACATGCATTATATTTGTCGTGTGACAGATAGACGTGACATAATCGACCAGAAAAAACTATTAGACGACACTAACCCAGGGCATAGGGAAGGTTTAGATTAAATAATGGTTTACATTAGAAAGAACAGGAGGAGGTGCCAGGACAAAGATTAAGACTACCGATTTATTACTGTAAAGGTGTTCTCGAGCAAATTATTTTAAAATATTATAATATTCCCTTTAATTAAAATCAATGGTCACAAAAACACAACTCCAACTTGGGAATATGCTAAACTGTCAATTGCACATGGCACAAAGGCCAATGTTATTTTATTTCTTTCATGTTTTTATATAAATAAACATACCTCACCTTTTCTTTGACGGATTACAAAATTAGCGACCAAAATAATGCTTCTTACCCTATTAATTGTCAGCCTAAGAGCAACCAGAATGAAATCGCTGGAAGTAGATGTGGAAATGGAAACAGTCTCAGTTGAGGCAATGAAAGTGGAAGCCAAAATGAAGATGGTTTCGGAGGTTCTCAACGCTTTGGAGGATCTGGATGGGGACAGGCTGAGACTTTGTTCCTTATTGAAAGGTATATTGTGGAATTCTATTATATGCAGCAAATATTGAACGTGCTTCTCGGACCGATCAACAGTTGAAAAACAATCGGTCAAATCTTTTGCTGGATTTCAAAAGAAATTACACCACCCGTAATTCCACTGGACAAGCAACACCCGCTCGTTCTATCATTTATGACAAATTATATAGCATTCTTAATAACTTACCTTCATGTTTCCCACCTGTCAGTTATTTCTCAATTTCAGGGGAGTTCAGAACAAGAATTGAAGATGCTCCTGAGGATGATGACAATTTGGAGCCTGATGTTGTTGGTGGTCCTAGCCAACATACTGCCCACACGAGCACTGCAGACGATGTGTTATGTACTGTGGATACCGAACCTACGACAAGATGTAATGTACTTTCTGAGGGGGTTTTGCTGTCGGTAAACAAGATCAACCTCCCACTGCAAAACGCGGATTAGAGACACCCCGTGAGCCAATAGCCGCCACATCCCCACATGCAACAACAACACCACCACCACCAGCACCACCAGCAACAACAGCAACACCAGCACCACCAGCACCACCAGCACGCCCATCGGAGCCCTTTCAACCTACGCAAGTAAGAGTAGCTTCGATGTTGTCTTTACCATCGGCGTCTAAACAACGCTTTGAGAACGACATGTTGCGTGTCTTGGACCCGGTGCAGCAAACTCAAGCTTTGGAAAGGGATAACCACTTTCAGTCCTTTCTTCAGTATAGTCGGGAGGCCAATGCTGCATTACTAGCACGTAGTGATCGAGTAGCAGAACTATTTGCTCAAAGTAACAGTGGAACCGCAAGACTTGTTGACGCGATCGTTCAGGATATGGCCAATTGAAACCAACAGGGTCAAAATAATAATAATAATACTGATCAATAATTATATATAATTTTGTTACAAACATTACTGGTTTATTGCTGAGAAGGCATATAGCGGTTGATATGGTTCCTTCTAGTTTGACTATTCGAATAGGCGGTGCTGTTGACTGACTGACTAGAACTATCCGGCCTAGCAACAAGCTCATTGCTCCTCACATCGTTCGGTTCATCTTCTACTAATTCCAGAACAGGGTCAATCACCTCAATACACAGATTGTGTAAAATACAACAAGCTGCTATAATACCCACAATATCACCGGTATCCTTGATGTATGTATACGTTTGCTGAGGAATCTCAAGCATGAATTAAGTATACCAAAAACTCTTTCAATGGCCATTCGAGTTGAAGAATAAATCTTCTTGGATTTGTTTTTGGCCGAAGCATCTTCAGATTTTCCAAGAACTTCCGAAGCAGTCAAAGGCACAATTATAGGGTGCGATAGTGGGTTGCTGAGTCTAAAACATATTCAGTTTTTTTCGAAGATTTTATTCACGCTTATATATTTTACCTGCAAGGATATCACTATGGCGGAAATAATGACAACTATTTGCCATTTAGTTCACAAAACTGCCATTTTTTCGGCGTGCAAAAGTGGCAGACATGATATTCTATAATAACCAAAGAGGTACAGCTGCCATATTTTTGGCTGGCAAAAATGACACCTTTAACAGTTGAATGAAGGAAAGAGGTTCACAGCTGCTGTTTTATGGTTTTAAAAAACGGCATCTATTTTAGTTTGTTGAAGACAAATCATTCACTGCTTCCATTTTCCTGACTTGTAAAAATGGCAGTTATGATATTCTATAATAACAAAACGTTCACAGTTGCCACTTTTTTAAATCGGACAAACCCTTAACCTTTCATTTAGACCCATTCTTTTATATTTGGCTGACTCACATTTTCTTATTCATTGTTATTATTGGCAGTAAAGCCCGTTTTGTTGTGTTGTTTATTTATATTTCAGTGGTGTATAGGAGGGTTTGATATAACTTTAACCTTTTTATTTACGTTTGTGGTTGTATACATGGCAATAAGATATACCATTATAATGCTTGGATGTTACTTTAGCTTACCTTTGACTCTCTTAACACTCTATAAAAGTATTGTTAGAAAATTGTAATATTGTAATTATTTCTGTATTTTACTACCAGCCTTAAGTTCTGATGTCGATGATCATTTGACCGGTGGTGTTCCTAAAATGTCGTCGTTTGAGTGAAAGGTACACAGAAGAAATAGTCTATATGTAAGTAGTAAGATATCAATAAGAATAAAACATAACTTTTTAAAGGCTATTTACCTGCAAAGATAGAACCGTTTATTGAAGAGGACCATTATCTATGTAAAATGGTTATATTATACAGACGTACTTCAGTTTGATCAAAATAAAAAAAAAATAGGCTAAATTTTTATCTAAAAAAAAACCCTTTAGTTTTTTATACGGATTACATGTCATTGCTTCAGTCATTGCAAACATACCCAATTCCAACATAATTGTTCACACTTTCCGTTATTTTGAAGGTGCTATATACCCTTACCATTGTTATTTGAAGGCTATTTATTTTAAAAGATAAATGAAAGTAAAAGAAAGAGAGAAAAAATTGTAAGCTAAAAGAACGCTAAAATACACACTAATAAAGAAGCTAAAAACCAGAATGGACCAATCATGTCGACCAGAAACAACTAGTATCTTCTTCTGGTTCTTTTACGTGAAGGTTCATTCGCTACCTCTGGTGGAGGAGAACTGTATAAAAAATAATTATCGCATATGAGTATACATATATCATGCATGAAAAACAATAAAAAAAACTTACAGCACGTCTGCTATGATGGGGGACTCATCGCGAACCATATCTTGGAAAGCGTCATTGATAGAGTCTGAACTATCGGGATCTTGTTGATTCTACATTTTTTTACCTTGTTAACGATATTGATGAAATAAACCGCTAAAGAATGTTTTACTGTTACCCTTCTTCTGTTTGTTTGGTTGTCCCTTTTAAAGCTCTCCCTTAACAAGCTTTTGGCACACCACATTCTCTTACACTGGTATATTTTGAATCCCTTGTCATTCGCAAGCTTTTCCAGGCACAACATGTAAAAATCTCTATCATTTGCCGGGATATCCTTCCAGTTTTGTAACACGTCAAGGTGGTCCAGGTCAATCAAATCATGCTTCAACGAACGTGCCAGTGACTTCAACTGAACTCGTTTGATTTCCAAATCACGCTGTGAAATTGGGACTAGAGGTGGCTTTTGTTGCTCATCGGGAATATCTTTACAAAATAACTGCCAGTCTTTTGTGTGCAAAAGTTGCAGCAGTACCTTAAGTCTATCCGAGACCTTCTTTCCTTCAAATTCTTCAGAATTTGTGTCAATGGTTCGTTTACCAAGCTGATCAGGATATTCAATCACTTGGGATCTTTTTACCGACTCGGTGATTCGATCAAGAGCTAAAAAAATACAAAAAAAACTGATTCAGTCACGATTATCAGAATCTGGGAAGGATATGCTTTACCACTTTGTTCGACGATACTTTTTTGTATCATATTTGCATCTTCATCGGTGATGTTTGGTGCAAATTGATTTTTGAACTGATCAGACAGCGCAGCTAGCATTTGTTTGATCTCGGTAACGTCAAGTTCGATTTTACGAACAGAATTG